GACGCACTTCGAGAATGAGGACCTCAAGAAAGCTCACGTAGCCGCCTGCTTGAAAGCTGAGAAGGCCGGTCTTCGTGTCACCGTCCACGGCGCTGAGGACGGCTCGTCGACGAACTTCTGTTGTGCTGTTCGAGAGTACCATGCAGAACGCGTCGGTCACGCCTACAAGATCGCTGCCGATCCTGCGATGTATAAGATGGCTCAGGAAACTCACACGCACATTGAGGCCTGTCCTACTTCTAGTATCTGCACGGAGGCCGTCTGTCTACCCCAAGTGCATCCAGAGAAGCCCATCCTGGACAGTTTAGACTGGAACAGGCATCCCATCAAGAAGTTCATTGAGGATGGTCTTAGTGTGAGCATCAGCACTGACGATCCTACTGTGTTTTTGACTCACATTACGGATGAGCTCACCATCCTGGCTGATCGCTTTGGGTTTGATGCCCATAAAGCCGGAATGCAGGTTACTATGAACGCCATTGATCGTTGCTGGGCGTCTGCTAAGGAGAAGTCCCGTTACCGTGATCTGACCGTGAACTACTACGAGGGTGAGGAATCTACCATTGAGGAGAATAGCGACTGAGTTACGTCTCATTCAGTACTTCCTTTGCAAGGTATCTCTGTTTATAGTTGTACAGAAAGCATTTTTCTTGACAGCAATTCATGCCCTGTGGAGTTGTGATGTCAATTTTGGCTTCAGTGATCCTCCAGTTTAACTGGGCATCCATATGTGTCCATGAAACTCTCAACAGAGTTAGTCAACTAGCTGTTGTGGAGAGAAGAGAAGACTTGCAGGTCTCCCCCATGGAGTCTCGGTCACAGGACAGGTTCCTGATCAACCATCCACACGGCTCTGTCCTGTTATCAAGTCCACTAGGAGAAAGTCTGTTCGTTATCAAGTTCTTTCTCTTAAAACATTTTAACTATTAAAGTACCCACGAGGGACCAATCTTGTTCGCTGACTCGAATCACTTCTGTAAGAATTTACCAGCCTATTGCGAGATTTTGATTGTCACAGTTGATGATATCCGCTTATGAGTTTTTCAAGTCCGCCCCGAAGGTGGAGCTTCACGTCCATTTGGATGCGGCCTTCGATACCCGTCTCCTGTACGAGGTCGCTCAAAGAGACCTCGCGTCGCTCCCACAAGAGGTATGCTCAATTCAGCGTTATACGTTGGAGTTCATCTCAGTGAGGCTTCGCGAGTCGGATCGAAAGGATCAGCCGCTTCCTTGATGGAAGTGCCTACGAATTTCCCTATGGGACTTTCGATAGATGTCAAAGTTCGTGTGTGCATCGATCAGCATCCTGCTGCATCTGTCGAAGCTAATCGAGCTGAAATCTCACACTATCTCATCGTCGACGTGTATAAATGCAATATATCAGCTGCCATTCGAGCTTATTTTCGTAGGAACCAGCACCATGGCGTGGCGGAAGTGTGCGCGTGAGAGAACAGATCGCGGAGTGTGAGGGCTTCGATGAATTCTCTCGAATTGTGAAGATGAGGGCTGAGGACGTTGTTGCTGGGCAGCTCGATAGAGATAATAGTGGAAACCTCTGAACGGGCAACGCTCAGTTTTTCTATCCCGCTCTTCATTCTAGTCGGTAGAATGCGTTTTCAATTTGGGACTTGGAATCGTATTTAAGGTATCGCTTTTCTTGGGACTGATCTTTCGATAATTTGCGGGGGATCCCAGGTTCGATGCCTGGCCACTGCTTCATCTGTAGGGTGCCGCGGTGCTGGCCTGGCGTGTATGCTCCACTGCTTTGGGGTTTTTCTACCGATTGTCAGAGGGAAGAAGGATGTCTTAGAGGAGATGTCGTACCGATTCTGTCGAGATCAAGCGGGACAGAATATCGTGTATACGGAAGTCAGGTATTACCAAACGGGTATGTTGAAGATCTTAGCTCGCGTCTTCTTATTATCTTACTCCACATGTACGTGTGGTGGCAGAAATTCCTAGGATTGGATTTTTTGCGCTGAGCATTCTGGCTAGCTAAGGTACAATCCGCACATCTTGAGTGAAGAAGGGTCAACTCTGCCGAATCCGAGGAGCGTTATAGAAGCCGTCGGTAGGCAAGGAGCCTCTCGAGTTGTGCATCTGGTCGAGGAATACGTTTTGTGTCTTTCAGCGGCTGGTTTGAGACGGGGTATGGAGGAGTTCGGCATCAACGTGAAGCAGATACTGTGCTGTATGAACAGGAATCCTGAGATGAGCGCAGACATCGCTGCCCTTGCAATAGAGTAGTAACGACTTGCTTCAAATCAGTCGGATTATCTTTCTTAGATTCAAAAGCTCGGGAGTAGTGGGGATCGATGTAGCATCGGGTGAGCTGCACTTCAACAGAGCGGATCTTCGAGAAGCCCACATAAAAGCGTGTAGAGTTTGCTGACTTCGATTGCAGTGTGTGAAGTCTCTCAGGTCGACGAACAAAAGCGGCGGGTCTCCATGTGACGATTCATGCAGCTGAGGATGGACCCGGGAGGAACTTCTGCTGTGCTGTGACTGAGTGGATGGCAGTGGGCGTCAATGCATAGTTGTGCAAGCTTTCTCGCAGATACTTAGCAGAAAGGATCGGCCATGGGTACCGAATACACGACCAACCGCATGTCGATGAGAAGTTGTATCAACAGGCCAAAAACTCAGGCGTGCACATTGAGGCCTGTCCTACTTCTAGTATCTGCACGGAGGCTGTCTGTCTACCCCAAGTGCATCCAGAGAAGCCAATTCTGGACAGTTTAGACTGGAACAGGCATCCCATCAAGAAGTTCATCGAGGATGGTCTTAGTGTCAGCATCAGCACTGATGGCGGTCCGGTCTTCTCCACCGATCTCACGAGAGAACTGTCCATCTTGGTGGATCGTTTCCATTTTGATGCCCACAAAGTTGGAAGCATGGTTACGATCGCCGCCATCGACCATTGTTGGGCTGACGATGAGGAAAAGGAGCGGTATCGGAAATTGGTATATGCTTACTATGACGTTTGACAAGTGGGTTTCGCTGTTCTGCAGTCTCTTCGTTTCATCCAAGTCAATCATGATACAAACCAACGCTGGGATCCTCGTCTTCTCGTTCACAAGCTATCATGATGGACGGATATCCACTTTGAAATGAGCAAGGTCATTGCTGCAATGTCGTTACAGTAGAAACCCGTTTTCATGCGCTCACCTCACCTTGGGTGAGAGGGCTGTCACTAGTCTGGACGCGGTGTTTCGAGTGAGCATAGCATCCATTGCTCCATTGCTCGTTCGCATAGCATCCATTGCTATGCGTTGAGCAATTACATAAGAGTACTACACCCGTCCGGCCATGTTGCGATATGCGATGGGCCAACGAGGCAATCTGTAGTACCCCCAATGAGCATCGAGGTACGCCATTGGCATGCATTGAGAATCTCAGACGGTGGCGCTCCTTCTCAGTTGAGCCTCCGGATGAATTGGTGATTATTGACTTGAAAAAAGCGTATCTCTGTATCTTCATCGATGAAGATCAGTCCTATTGGCTCGGAATCCGGTTACGTTGGGAGCCACATACGGCTTACCGGATAGTGCGAATGCCATTTGGCCTCAATGTAGCGCCAAAGACTTTGGCTCTAATACTAAACGATACTCGACAAATGTGCATCCCACTGACAGTTATCTTCGACATATACGTCGATGATATCATCACACAGCGATCATGGGCCCAAGCCATTAGAGATATTCTGTTACGTCACGGATTTCCCAGCAAAGGGCCTACCCCTCTCAAAGAGAGTAGAGTCCTCGGACTAGAATGCCAACCAGATGGCACTTGGCGTCGACGCGGCGATTTACCTCTCTTAGATTGCCGAACATGTACTCTGCGTGAGATTCATAAATGGGCAGCAAATTCATAGACATTATCCTATCGCTCGTTGGGGAAGCCCGCAGCGGCTTCGCTTAGAGATAGCGACTCTACGACTCCCAGTAAGAGTTTCGTGGGATTCACTAGTAGATAGCATATCCTCACAGCATGCGAAAGCTCATGAGCGATATAGTC